GCATCGTAGATAACTAATGGAAAACTTTTCACTTTCTTACCAAATGGGAAAGATTTGTCTTATGTTAGCAAGCAAATCTGCTCCTCCACTCGTTTCATTCAACAGGCAGTTACTTCTGTAATGTTTTTTTTTAAATTTGTGTTGTGTTTTTTTCTTCCAATTTGTGTTGCAGCCTTTGTATTTTTTTTGTGGCTTTTAAAAAAAAAATTGTGTTACGGCTTTTATATTTTTTGTGGCTTTTTTATTCGTGTTGCATCTTTTGTATATTTTTTGTGGCTTTTTTGTTTTATTTGTGTTTCTGCTTTTGTATTGTTTTAGTGGCTTTTTTTTATATTTATTTGTGTTGCGGCTTTTGTCATTTTTTTGTGTTTGTTTTCTATTTGTGTTGCGGCTTTTGCATTTCCATTGCAGCTTTAGTGTTTGTGTTGTGGCTTTTGTATTTGTCCTGACACCTCTGGGCCACCGTAGGAAGGCGTTCGGCGGGGTTTGCTGGCAGTTACCTAGCGATCCGTTCATGTGGTGCGGCTCCATCCCGGCCATGGCTCCCAGAGGCCCGTCCGAGCCGGGGCCCATGGGGAACTGCGGGGAGAACACAGATTCAGCTCACTCAGTCAACCTTAAGCTCCTCCCACTTCTGCTACTGAGCATGTGCAGGAGGCAGCAGGGAGGGCTCCTGGTTCTGGGGTTTGCTTTGCCCAATGGCTCCATTTTCTGGCTCTTTCTTGGGCTGAAGAGCCTTTTTATCTTTGGTGTTTGAGTGCTTCTGTAACTGAAGGTTTCAAATAACTCATTAACACAATCCAGTATTACAAAGTGCATTCGAGCTGCCTCTAAAAAAAAAAAAAAAAAGCCATAAAAGTCTATTTCATACATCCCACTTGACTATTGCAACCCTGACACGACGTCTTCCAAAGACCACAGTTATTCATGAAATGACCATAAAAGGTTTTCAACTGGTATTTTTTTCTGTTTTTTTTGCAGCAGCAGCTGGAAGACTCAAGTTAATGTGCATATTGATCCGTTTAATACAAACTAGATCTGTGCGGATCGTTTAAATGTCGGCAGTTCTGTGGTGTAAAATGATCGAATTCAATACCTTCAAGGTTTTGCTTTGTGGGGGGAAAAAATAAAAGCTATTTGCGTCTGTGCAAACCCAAAGAGAGGATTTTCTCTGAGAGGCCATAAAGGCTGAACTGGGCTCGTTCAGTGTTTATGTTTGCCATCACACATCTGTCCCTTTAAGAGGTTAGTCTCAAACCAAATCCAGCATCCAGCCAGAAGAGAGGGGAAAAAAAAAAGAGCTGCTCACATTGTTTCGGTTTCCGGGTCCAGTGTTGATCATAGTGTACAAATTGTCGCCAGAGTTGTTGGAGTCTGGGGGAAAAGCAGAAGGTACGGGTAAATCTGGATGCTGGGAAAGGCGGGAAAACGGCCGGTGGCTCTCCGGTTCGCTCAGGCTGGCACTAACCTGCAGGGCTGGGCATGATGGGAGTTCCCGGAGGACCCCCCCCTCCAGACGCCCCCTGTGGAAATCACAAAACACAGACGTCAGACCCCCACAAACCCCTCGTTTTTCCAGAAGCCCTGCGGTGGGGTTTGGGACGTGCTCTCACCCCGTAAGCTCCAGGAGAGGGGGAGGAGTAAGGCATCTGAAACCAAAGACACACAGAAAATTTCCCATCAGAAACAGGAGCGCAAACCTCAAGCTGTCATCATCCATCATTTGATCGTCCTGATTTCATTACGTCTGTCGAACCGTCTGCGGAAACCGCGACACATAATACTACAATTACATCCCAGATTAAAGCTAACGGGGCACCGAGTGTGTGTGTGTCTGTGTGAGTCTGTGTGAGTCTGTGTGAGTCTGTGTGAGTCTGTGTGTGTGTGTGTGTCTGTGTGAGTCTGTGTGAGTCTGTGTGTGTGTGGGCGCTCACAGAGTTGGCGTTGTTGGGGTTGGGCCATGGCCGGCCTGTCCCCGGGCCCCTGAGGAGGCAAAAGCTTTGGTTACTTTCACACTGGAGCCGAAAAACCCTTAAAAAGGTGAGAACGGGGATCTTACATGTTCACCCCGGGCATACCGGGACCCATGGCGTTGTGTGGGGGCCTCATGCCTCCTCCAAAGCTCTGAGAAAACACCCAGACACAAACATTAAGACTAGGGGTGGGACGGTTCACAAAATCCACGGTTCGGTTCGATTCACGGTTTCGTGGTCACGGTTTTGGGTTCGGTTCGGTATATGTTGATTGTTAGGAAAATCTATTATGTCTTGTATAGTCAGGTTAAAACTGAAAGAAAAAAGCTGTCTGACATTTGATCCATTATTGGGACAGTCTTAGGTTAAAAGTAGGTGAGATTCCGGCATTGCCAGAGAGGAAACAGTGCTAATTCCAACATGTGCTTCCCTCTAAATGCAAAGTGGTCCATACAGCAGACCTAGAAACTGCTGTTGGCGTCTGATTTTTATCGGCTACGCTGCTTCGTTTCTTCTTCTTGTTTCCTACTGGTGGTTGGCTTTGGGCGCAGTAGCGCCCCCTTCTGCTCTGGAGTGTAAACGCTTCCCTCTGAGAAAAAGGAGCAGCATGAACCGAACACAACACACGCGAACCGAACCGAGACAGAACCCAACGGTTCGGACGGTTTTCAGAAACCGTCCCATCCCTAATTAAGACGCATGTAAAACAACTGGTTTGACTCTCATAAGACAACCAGCAATGATCTAGTGGAGACACATTAAAGGAGCCAACCTGAGGGCCGGGCCCCATCGGCCCCATGCCCCGGGGGCCACTCATTCTCTGCATGGGTCCCAGGTTAGGATGGCCTGGAGGGACAGAGAGGCTGCATGTTAGTACAGAGGCCAGTGGGGGATTTGTGAGCGTACAACCTGGAGGAGTCTGCACCTTGTGGCCGTGTGGGCTCCATACTGGACAACATGGGATGGGGCCCCGGTCCTCCACCTGGTGGCTAACGGGGACAAAACACAAGTGTCAGACTGATGTCCAACAGATACCGTAAACTCCAGACTATGAGGCACTACTTTTTTCCCACACTTTACACAGCAGAACCTCTACTTACGAGGCCTAAACATAACAATTTTCCAACATACGAAGTGAAATTTGATCAAATATTCGACTCCACACCTGAAGTAAATTTCTAACATATGTCGAAGTCATATAAAAATATATATAAAATATAAAAAGTCAATTAAAATAAATGAGCTAAGTCAGTTTAAAGTTCCTACTTAAAGTCAGAGTGAGTTAGGGTTGGTCCTGTATCTCAGTCTCCACCTCTACCTCCATTCTTCAGTCTCTGAGCTAAAAGGCCAATAAAAACCCTTTTTATTGATTATTTCTTTATCATTTATTTCTTTTTCCATCTCTCTTCTAGAAGTCCTTTGTTTTATTGCTATGTGTGATTATCTGCAGTATTTATTAAGGAGTTATCGTAGGTTTTTGGAACCAATTCTAGGAATGACAGAGTATTCTGATGGAAGATTTGAACCAACATACCAATATTTTAACATACAAAGTTGGTCCTGGAACCAGTTAAATTCCTAAAACCCCCTGATTCTACACCGGCAGAGGAGGCCGATATCTGTAAACCCGTTTCCCTGGTTTGTGCTGGTTTGTACTGGTTTCAAGCCCCGGGACGCATACCTGGCTGGCCATCCGCATGGGGGGACCTCTCGGGCCTCCAGCGAAGCGAGGGGACATGAAGGACTACAAAGGAAACAGTCATTTCTTTAAGTTCTAACAGCAAAAAAATAATAAAATAGATGCTCATTTCTCAGCTTAATGTGTGAAAACAGAAAGCACCGAAAGCATTAAGCTCAGACAAGTGGCAAAGCATGACGCATCAGCTCTGAGAACCGTGGCTCCCAAATGAGAAAAAAGGAGGAGGAGGCAGAGAGAAATGCAGCGTTACCTGACTGTGTGGCCCCATCATACTGTTAGGGGGCGGAGCCTGAGGGTGAGGAGAGCCCTGGGGACCAGCAGGACCCTGTGGCGTCACACAATGAGGAGGCGAAGGGGGGAGGACGGAAAAGAGCAGAGGAGGAGATGAGATGGGAAAAGAGAGAGAGAGGAAGAGAGAGAGAGGGAGCGAGAAGCAGCGTTACTGCAGGACAGAAGAGAGCCGGAGCACAACAACCAGAGTGGGCCGCAACTAGGGTTGTCAAAAGGATCGATACTCAAAAAAGTATAGATACTAAAACCTTCTCTCTGATTTATTTATTTATTTACGTTGTTTATGATCATTAACGTGACGTTAGCCTTGAATTGCTAGCTGCGGCTAATGGCTAATAACAACACGCCAACATTAATGAAGTATGCAGGAAGCCAATGATGGATATCCAACTCCCCCACATCCAAGTCGGCCATTTTGATTAGGTCACCAATAGGAAGATCCCAGGCAAGAAAATCCTAATTGCTTCATGGCAATATAGACATTAATTTAAAAATAGTGAAATTAATCCTTCAAACACTGAATTAAACTCTATACATAATATTATGTTAAAATAGTGTATGTTAAATAGGTTTGTTTAATAAGTCCAAACAAGTTTAACCAGTCAGGGTTAGGGTTAGGGTTAGGTTTAGGGTTAGGGATAACATCAGTAACAGGTCAGTTTGAAACCAAAGACACTAACCTGTCAAAATTCAGTTACATTTTGGCGTCTTTGTTTTTATCCTTGTGTTATCAAAAATGGTATCGAGTATCGAATATTTTCCTGAGTATCGGTATCCAGTTGAAAATTTTAGTATCGTGACAACCCTAGCCTGAACAACACAAAAAAAAAAACACACACACCAGGACGCTCGTTTTACACAGAAAAAAAGGGAGGCGGGGCAGAGAAGAACAAGCGAACACTTTAAGGCTTTAATGAGAGGAAACGCAGACAGGGATGGAGGGGATGGGCTAGCAGCGCTAATTCCCCGAATTAACAGCATCAATTAGCCTCTACACAATCAGCTTTATAGTTCCAAACACCGTAATGCGTCACTATCTGCTCATCAGACGGTGGAGCCTCTAACCGAGCCTCCCGCCTTTCTTTAGGCCACGTAATGGACTGTAAAAGGTCCTTTTCCAGAAGCATGACGGCATCATGAGACGAGCTTTTGGTCAGAAAACGGCAGACGTTTGTGCCGGTGTGGAAGACTCGGTTCCACACAGGTGCTTGAAACCTTCATGAGGTATTGATCTACAGCGGGTGCCGCACCTTTCGATTTCTCCATTAGGGAAAGAGGCCGCGCCTGGCTGTTTACAGCCCGGGAGAGCGGCTGAAATTAGCAGAGCTCAACTCAGACTCCGTGTGGACCAGAGGTCGGCAACCTTTAACACTCAAAGAGCTACTTGGACCCGGTTTTCACAGAAAAAAGAAAACACTGAGAACCATCAAAAATAGGCTTGTTCCGATCCGATATATGGATCCGATCGGCCGCCGATATTTACAATAAAATGGGTATCGGCCGGCAGGAGAAAATGCAGACTCCTGATCCAGTTTTTAAAAGTCTGATCCATGTTTTCCAGAGCACTAATTAAATTAATCCATTACTGATGCAAGTTAATAGACTGTTTTCTATTCAAGTTGTTTGTGTGTTTTGCCTTTTTAATACAGTTTACAATATTATTTGCACTTTTTACGGTTCTCTGATGCCATTTCCGTTTGTTATTTATATTTTTGTCTATTTTGTGTTTCTCCCTGAATAAACAGGTGAGTGTCTCTTTACCAACCAGTGTGTATTATTCAGACTTCCCTAATTCAGATGGCTAGTTATCAGAGTAAATCCCTTTGTAACATGAGTCTGACAACTAAGTAAGTAGGCTAAATAACTTTCAACTTTAATACATGCTCTGATAGGCTGGGATCGGATCGGAAGTGAAAAAAGCTGGATCGGGAAATCCTTAATCTAAAATGAAGATAAGACTTTGGATATTTTTCAGCAAAGACTGTTTAATTGGGAAATTTGATATTTTATTGTTGGCTAGTTTTTAGTGAGCTGCACTTGTCTGAGGTAAAAGCAAATTAATCTGCCCAGACGTAATTAAATCTTCTATTTTCTTCATATATTTTTCTGTTTTTAGATTTCGACATCTCGATAGACGCATCAGGAATTTAAGCTGCTGCTTGAACAGGGGTCTTAAAAGGGAAAAAAGCGAGGGGGCGAAGCCGGCTGCAGAGCGTTCCTAACAGAGTGTGACGGACTCACCTGGAAAAAGCCGGGCGGCATGGGTCCTCCTGGCATTCCCTCCCCAGGGGGCATGCCTCCCATCACGGGGCTGGGGGCTGCTGCCGCGCTCTGGGGGAGGAAGAAGAGGAGGCAACACCAATTCAATTCAATTTTATTTATATAGCGCCACATCATAACAACAGTTGTCTCACAGCTTTCCAAACAGAGCAGGTCAGTTAATTACAGAAAGCCAACAATTCCCACCATGAGCAAGCACTAGGCGACACAGGGAGGGAAAAACTGTGTCATAAAATTCAATTAAATCTTTTTTATATAGCGCCACATCACAACAACAGTTATCTCACAGCTTTCCAAACAGAGCAGGTCAGACCCTACTCTGAAGTTAATTACAGAAACCCAACAATTCCCACCATGAGCCAGCACTAGGCGACACAGGCAAGGAAAAACTTCCTTTTAACAGGCAGAAACCTCGAGCAGAACCATGGCTCAGGGTGGGCGGCCATCTGCCTCGGCCGGTTGGGGGTGAGGGAAAGAGAGAGAGGGCGAGAGAGAGAGAGAGAGAGAGAGAGAAGGACAGAGGGAGCAGAGAGAGGCAGCCAACACAGCAACACATAGACTAGATGACACCACAACGTTAACATGAAACACGTTGATAGGGAAATCTAGGAGAAGAAATGTGAGGAATCCAGCAGCTTTCAGGGTGTTAACGTGAGCTAGCGTCGTGAGCCAGGAGTTAAAATCTATGCGTTTCCTGTTTAAGCGTCATTTAGCCAACTGACCTGCCGCCTTCCCAGACCTCGATGAGGTATTAATGGGGTCTTTATTGAGGTCTGAGCCCTGCTGATTAGGATCCAGAGGATCAGATAAGTGTCAGTGGGATGCTCTGAGTCAGTGGCTCCAAAGTGCTGCTGCACGGCAGGGGCGAGCTGGGCCTATTTCCTGCTCAGACCGCAGCCCTAATTCACTAATGTGCCATTTGCTTCGGTCACACGCTCCTAATTGACTGAGTTTTTCTTCCCTGCAGCCGAAGCAATCCGAGATGAGCTAATGTCTCCGGAGCTGTGGGGCTTCTCCCTGCAGCCGGAGGCTGAGGGGAGAGAGAGAGAGAGAGAGGGGGGCCCCATTTGTTAATGCAAAGCCGGAGTGTAAATGTAGCCGAACGGCCGACGGCCACCACAAAGAATGGATGCATCAGCATCCAGGGGCCTCTACGGCCCAGAAGCTCCACCGGTCAACGGCCAGAACACTCCCTTTTATCGACTGCGCCCTCCCTAATTATATCTGCAGGGAACCTGTGAAATGCCTCAGTCGGGGGAGAAGTGAGGCCACGGGGGGAGAAGTCACCAAGACTCAGACTCAGAGCCGGTTCCCTTCCTGGATGGGGCAGAGTTTGGCTTTCTGAGGGTTCTCAGTAATGTGGAGGTCCAGCTCAGTCCTGTTGGCCAAACCAGAGGGATTTCCTGGATTCAAGAAGTTAAAACGAAGACTTAAAGAGTGCAGAATTAACACCATTAGGCAACTGTTCTTAAGCCGTCTGCATCTGAGACATCTGAGCTGTCACTTTTTACACTTTCCTCCTAGAATACGCAGAAGCCTTCATAGCCAACGTCACTGTGTAATCCCTCTATACTCAACCAGCTTCTGCCAAGTCCAAGTGGTTATTTTTATCATCGGTTTCACCATCAATTCAATTAAAAAATGTAGTTGTATAGGAAGGTTTTAGAAAATATCTGTATAACAGAGTGAATGTATCAATTCAATTCAAATAATTCAATAATTTATTGTCATTGTCAAAAAAGGCAACAAAATTGTGTTTGGGATACAACACTTAGTAGCAGCAAGTTCCAAGTAAAGTATCCCATTTCGATGGGTCTGAGCTGCATGTGCCGGAAACTAAAATGTATTTGTCAGTTTGTTTATGCTACATCAGTCTTTAAATATGTTTACCTCTCGGGTTAAAGGTCTATTTACCTGCCTGACAGGTGGAACCAACAGTGCTGCTGAAGAACTCTGAGGTCAATGAACTCACTAACACATGTGTGGGGGCAGATGTTTACATTATCTCTCCGTAATAATCCTAAACGGTGACTTAAGCAGGAGATAAACGGTCATAAAAGACCTAAAAATACTTCCCGCTGAAGCAGACGCGGCTGATCAATAAGCCCAAAAGTCAACAGCACACGGCTTGAATCGAGGTGGGAATGTAACAGATCTGTGTATGCAAAACACAACCTGTTTTTCAAGCCTTGAGCTGCCCTGACAAGTCGCCCAAACGCGAGCTGAAGGACGACGACGACAACACCCAAATGACACGACTGCTCCCCCAACAACTCGTTTGTCTAACCTGCAGGTGAACAAACACACCGGGCCGTTTCAAAGGCCGACACCGATTGTTTTAATTCACAAACGAAGCCACAATCGAGCACTATAGCGAGACAAATATCAATCCCATGAACACTCAGGACTATTAGCGTCTTCAGGAGCATTGTTAAGTCTCTCTGTGCCTCAGATTGTCGGAGGTGTTCGATGAAAACTGTCTAATTTCACTTATTCTGTTCAGCTAACACTATCACAAAAGGAAAATCCATTTGTATGCAAACACAACCTCTCACACTGGCTGAAAATAACTTCACAACACAGAAGGAGCTCAGAATCAGGAGTCTGACGCACCGGCTGATCGAGTAACTTTGATAAAGGTGACCAATGGCTTCTATGAGGAGAGAATAGGGAAAACAAAGGGCTGCACTTCATGCAAAACAGTGTAAAACACCTGTCGAGCAAAGCACAAAAAAATAAAGGAAATCACAGACTCCAGACGTCTGAATTTGCCCTCTTTAGGAAATAAAATCATTTCAGGATATTGCCTTTTTTCTTCCTCCATCATACCGATGACAGCACAGAGATTATTGGCTTTTTATCCACTGTTTGAACTTCTTTTGAGCAGATAATGTTGGTTAAATGTATTTTTTAACAGGAATCTGTGAAATCAGGCTGCAAACGGAGCCCAATAATGACCTAAAAACAGAACATAAACAGGGGGAAGAGCGGGTCCATGCTTCATTTAATCCCATTAGCTCATTATTGTGCTCATTTTTGTCAAACGAGCAAGACTTTGAATCTAAAAGTGGCGTTCCTGTTTTGGTTATTGATCACACCGGGTCTGGAGGGACCTTCATACTTGCTCTTGCGGTGTTAAAAAGAGCGGGTCAAGTACCGACTGCCTGCCAAAGTCTCGGTCCTGGAAACGGCGTGGTGCATTCTGCTAATTGTTATCTACCAAAACTGGTCCCTGCAGACCTGAACCGGAGCGTCTCCACTGTTTGGCTTCACAGGGTGAAACAGAAACAGGGGTTGGCTGAAAATAAACGATGTATTTAAGCTGTATTTATGCTGTATTAATGCGAATAACCTACTTCGGGTTTCAGACAGAGACGGCGTGAGCTTGAGGCCCGTTGAGTCGAGCCCACAGCTGCGTTTGCTGGACAGCCTGATGCTGCTTCGGGGGGGAAATGAAATGAGCGTCTTCTCTCCACAGACTTGTTACAGGAAAGAGGGCAGATGTCTCAGCCCTGCCTGAGGCCACGGGGCTCTGGTCCAGGGCCTTCCTTACAACCACCCAGGGGAGCTTGTATAAGACAGACTACCCCCCCCCTCCACCGTGATTCAGCACATATGCATGTGGAAGACAGAAGATCAAGAGAGAAAGAAGAACAGCACAAAGACAGGAGCGTTTTACGGAGCACAGACCACCCATCTGCTGACTCCGGAGCTCTTAGGGTCCTCACTTGTTCCACTGGAACCGATTCTCACAGAAACCAGCCTTTATGTTTGGCCTGTAAATGTTTAACCATCAATCAACACCATAAAACCGAGCCTGGATCCTGACTGGAGGCTTTCTCCCTCCTCCTCCGGTCACTTCCAGCAGGTCTCCTCCGCTCGTGATCTCCCCCAACCCCCTCTTGGTTTTATTTCCCGAGCGCCTCCGCGGTGGTGGATGCTGGGCATATGCCATAACGCCACTCCCTTTTCCTTTTTCCCAATCTGCCCTGGGCTGGGTGACAGCCATCAATCAGCCCTGCGCCATGGCGACCGAGCCCCCGGGGAGCATTCAGCGGGCCCAGTGTGAATATGCCGGGGCCTCTCGAGCAGCTTCACCTCCCCCACACCTAGACAAAGGCTAGGGTCCAAGGACTAGTACTGTCCACACACACACACACACACACACACAGACACACACACACACACACATACAGACACACACTGGCCTGACCCCCGCATTCATCACAAAGAGAGACAGCATCACAGCGAAGGCCGACCACAAGATGTCACACACAGAGACTCTCTGGCCTCGTTTGCTCAGCGCTTTCCTTGGTTGACTTCGGGTTTTTCCTCCTTTTAAAAATCCCCCCCCAGGGTTGTTTTAACGTGTGATTGCAAAAGGGAAAAGGCGAGAGGCGGGGGATCGTCATGTTGAAGGTGAGGTGGGTTTTGGCTGCCCTCCCATGTCAGCAGCGACTGAAATTAATAACAAAAAAAATGCGGCTGAAAGGGCAGAGACACACTGAAGCCCGTCTCCTGGATCCCAGGTCACCTGCCAGATCAGGAGGCCCGTTACCGTGACAACCATATCTGCCAGGAGCACGACCAACATCTTTTTTTTTTTAACCCTCTGCTGTCTCTGACCTGCCCACTAACCGGTTTCTGGAGACGATGCTCCAGCCTCTCTTGTCTTTACAGCAAACTGCATTTAGTTTACATTAACAACATAATACCTGTCCACTTTTCCCACATAAATGTGGTAAGATGCAAAAAAAAAAGGGGAAGGACGGAGGCCACACGTCGCTGGATCTGCTTGAGACTTATTCATGTTCTTTACTGGACTCAAAGAAGGAAACAGAGCAGCCGATGACAGCGTTTCCATTTCCAAAATAGCACCAGTATCCACATGCAAATCACCTATTTGATGCAAATACAGCAGAGACGAAATGCTGAGATAATAAAGTCAGCGTGAGGTCACTTCATACTACAGGTAATTCGTTCCCGAATGTACAAAACGAAAGAACAAAATCAAGCTGTGTGGCAGTTCTTGAGATTTTGTGGAGAACGTACAGCAGGTCCTTTTTCATCTTCACAAGGGAGGCAGAGAGCTAGAATTAGGGGGAGAGCACTCGACAGGTCTGACTCAGGACATGCTGACATCAGCAGCATTTTCCCAGAAGCCTGTGAGGCTCATTGTGGAGAGCATCATTCAGCCCAATAGATTAAAAAGACTGCGCTAAAAAAAGGCTCCAAACACAAGGTGGACAAATATCATTGGGCTTTTTCTTCCAAGGTGGGTGAAAACCGTCCGTTAAGTCACTCCACACTTTGTTTTAAGAGTTCACCCCCTCAGAAAAGAGAAGGAAGGGCTTTGTCCTCTGAAGCAGAAGACAAAGAAGTACATGCAACAGCTCAGAGAAAGCACTACTCACATAATCGTGGAAGGCCTTTGCTTCACTGGAGTGGTCACATGTCTCTCGTCTCTCTGGTGCAGCACAATACAAGTCCCAGAAAACACTGCAGACAAGAGGGGGTCATGAAGCAAGCAGAGGCACACACACACACACACGACCTCCGGACGGTGTCAGACAGGACTTACCACCACCAGGAATGCAGGAATCCGGGGGGTTCTCCAAGCGTTATGTTTTTCTCCCATCGGATCTAACAAAGAGGAATTTCAGTGATTATCTAAGTCGGAAATAAATAAATAAAAGAATCAAAACATGAAGATATGGTTGAACTTTTAGCTGGAATTCCACATACCTCTGATAAAAAGGTCTGTGCAGACTTTTGTGCTCCTATGTGCAACAAATACTCATAGACGTAAAGAGCCAACCTGCGTGGGGAGGGGGATAAAATAAACACACAAATTGGAGTTAAAATTCACCAAACACGCTCAATTTGATGTCCAAACACCTGGTTAAACCTTTCTCAGTGACTAAAAACTGGGCACAGGCCTTGTGAACAATGGCTGCCAAACGGCCGGAGCCAGAAATTAAACGGGGGATTGGAAAAGGAGCCCAGCAAAACTGCCCAAAAAGCGGTGGCATGGCGGGGTAATAACGGGGGAAACGACACTCCAGTCTGCCCGGAGAGGATCCAGGGGGGGGGGGGGTGGGTTGGGGGGGGAGGGGGGGTATCTGGGAGGCACGGATGAGGGCTGAGGGCAATAAAAAGCGAAGCCCATAGAGTGAGAGCCCAACTGTACTGTCGCGCGACGGTGTTATTGTCTGAATAACCGCCGCGGCGCGCGACAGCCAACGGTTCCAACCGCCGCCAACGCTTCCAACCGCCACAAAAACGTCCGCGGACGTCCCAAAAAAGGCAGCAACGAGCTAAAAGCTAAAAGCCGCCGAAACACGGCTCTGGGGGGGAGGAATGGCGAGCAGACAAGGCGGTTCATTCAATTCCTTTTCTCGGCAGGAGGAGGAAATCGCCGCTTGCTAGCCCGAGTCCAGCGAACAACAGAGCGCGAGAGGGGAGCAACTTACGACCCGTAAAACGCAGAATTACACCCGTTTCGGAGCTTACTTTTCTCGCGCTTGGTTGTCCGACGGCACCGGGGTGCCTTTGCCTTTGGGGAACATGGTTTTGTTTGGGAGGACGCCCGCCTTCTCTTTCTTTTTTTTCGCTATTTCATCTGTCAGATCATCGCGGCCGCGACCCTCTCGCACTCCAACCGCACTCCGCCTCGATCCGGAGACTCAACCGAGCCTGGTCCGGGGGGAAGGGGCGGGGCCTCGGTGACGGATGTTCCCAGCAGCCAATCGGATTGCAGCACCGGCCGTTACGTGTTCACGGTTTACGGCTGTGACGTCATCGACTTTAACATAAATTAAGTTAAGGAACAAACGGCTGGGTTGATGTTTTACTCGTCAATTTCTCGGTGTTTGCGTGTTTACGGTTTACGGCTCTGACGTCATCGACTTTAACATAAATTAAGTTGAGAAACAAACGACTGGGTTAATGTTTTACTCGTTAATTTCTCGCAATTTCACCTCACAAAATCTTCCTCAAAATAAATTAATCCATAACATATAGACGCACTTCTCATTATATTTTTAAAAAATTAAGTCGCATGTAAATAAACGTGAAGAGAAAAGTTTAAAGCTCATTCCGTTTTTTTCCTGATAATTGGCCAGTTACAGTAAACGTAGGATTTGGTGCAAACATAATTAATTTTTTTTTAATATCTTAGTCTTTGAATTCAGAATGGGAAAGATTTTTTAAAAAATGGCGTTTGTAACTAAAAGTGCATGGAAATGTTTCCCAGGAAGTCATACTCAAACCAAAAACAGTTCAAAGTAAACATAAGAAGTTCTTAGTCTGTATTTCTATGGTTTTGCTCCTTACAATTCTTTTGTTTATGATTTTTCCATTATCTATGTCCCTGAGCTTGTTTTCCTCCATGAGGGTTTGGATTCTCGAGTCTCATTTCTGTTTTTGCAACATTTTGAACTTATAATAAACTAATAAACCCATTAAACATAAAAGAACATGCCCATGGCCTTATTTTGAACATTGTTTCAGTCATTTAAAAATGACTTTTGGACTTTTTTCATACGGAAGGCTGTAGGCTTCTGGTGGAGGTCTTTATCAATGAAACCGACTGGACAAAAGTAATTGAGTTAAGATTGTCCGGAGCCCCAAACAGAGCCCCGGACCAGACGTGACTCCGGTTCCACCTTAAGTGCGCGTGCAGGAGGCGGTGCCCGTGCCTGCGCGTGCCTCCAGTGGCTGCACCGGAACTGTGAGGAGCTGGTGCACACCCACTTGTCGTGCACTTTGGGAACTAATGCGTAAAAAGTGCCGTGGTCCGGGTCTCCGGCTGCAGATTTCTGAGCTCTCAGAGCTGTAAGCGACTCTTTACGGAACTTTGCGCAGACTTTTGCGCATTTTGGACGGACATTTTGGACATTTTTTGCGTTGTTTGTGCGCCAGTTGTGCGTAGGTTGTGTTTGCAGCCCAGAGGGCACGGAACGGGCTGCAGGACCCCGCAGGAATCGGCGGTTTTGAAGAAGGTAACTCGTGTTGTTTGTGTTGAATACCAACGTCCGGGTGGCGCGTGTCAGGGGGAAACCAGGGGGACAGGTGACCGCACGAGACCCCACCGGACCAGAAGCCCAGGGTCCATCAAAGGCGTTCCACGAATAGCCCTTTTATCTGTGTGTCTTAAAAATAGAATTTGGCAGCTTCACTAAAAGAGACACACGTTCTTAAAATACTCATAAAATATATATGTGGGTCATTCCATGAAAACTTTTAAGTTTGGGTCAATGACTTCTCATAGAAGTGTTGTGTTGTGCACCAAACACCAAGGCAAATGCCTTGTAAGTCTAAAAACCTACTTGGCAATAAACCTGATTCTGATTCTGATTATGATGACATTCAAAGAAGGATAGGAGGCATAATAAAACTGTTAGCCCGATTCTTTAGTTGGAAACCTGAGAATAAACCAGAGTGGATCAAAAGTATAAAAAAGACATTTATTGGGTCACAGTTGAGTGTTAATCACTGGGCTCTGACAGACAAAAACCTCTCTCTGGGTCTCAGTGGGTTAGAGCCCTGAGATCTGGGTGATGGGCATTATCTCCTGGGCTCCATCCGCCTCCTCAAAGGAGGACTGGACACAACCAAGTCCTATTGGCCAGTTACCTCTGGGCAGGAACAGGCCAGGTCCTAATTCATGCAGATGACAGGAATGTGGTAACAAATGGTGTGTGTTTGTGTGTGTTGACGCAACAGGAGAAAAAAGGAAGAAACTGTGGTTACAGCTGGAGACTTTGACAAAAAAGTATAGTCATAAAAGAAAATAAAACAATCAGTAATTTACAAAGATCATGTGATAGCATACAAGGCTAAAGTGTGTAATTATAGCCAAATATGTAACAAAACTGTCAGTAATACTTTAAGTGTCTGAAGCCATTGATTCAAGTTTAGTTGCTAGTATGAGGTCAAATAAGAATTTAAATTAGCACATTTATAACTTTTTGTGTTAAACTGCAATCATTTTCTCATGTCTGCTCTAGCCATTTTTCTCATTCATGTAACATAAAACTTTAAAAATATCAAATAAATCTCAAAACATATATTGCTGTTATGGTTAGAAATAATTTCCTCTTAATAGGAAATGTGTTAATTATATTAAAATGTCATTTTTTAAAATCAAAATAGCATGATTTTTCTGTGTCCATCAATTTTATATTCCAACGTCACACCGATGTAATTATGTCCCGAAATGCAAAACACTTCCAGGAAGTGACATCACTAACAGGAAGTGACATCATTCAAGAGTTTGAAAAAGAGAAGTCCAAACAATGGTGAGTTCAGATTTTTCTTTAAGAACATTTTTGGTAAATTTTCCCTCCAAAATCCTTTCCGTTAAGCTAGCATGTAGCATAGCATATCCATCCCGTCACATACGAAAAGTGGTGAAAACAATTTGTTAATCAAATTTTGAAATTATATTAGTATTAATCATTCATTTTTCCACTGTACTTTCATGCTAACTGCAATGTTAGCTTTTAGCATATCCAGAAATGCAGCCATATTGCTTTAGATTTTCCCAAGCTAAAGCCTATGATTGGGTGGAATTATAGTGAGAACTACACATGTAAATACAGCACAGAAGTCCAGTTCACTTTGGTTCCCCCCATAAAGTATATT